GTTAGAGGAAAACAAGGGAGCTAACGGAATGGCCCTTTGAACCATTAACTCCCGAAAATGAACAGACGTGGTCGAAGCTCAGGACTTAGAGCTCGTTTAAACGCAAAAACATTTGCTTCTTCTTCTTCCTATTCTTATTTTTCTTAGTGAGTCTCTTTAGGAGCAAAAAGAAATTAGATCAAATGCCAACAATGTCCGACACCCTTAATGGTAGACTGGAAACAAAGGTCACAACTTTTTTTACCCGACCAACTATCAATTTAAGCTAGACGTCGCGTCGTCAGCGTCATGTTAAACATATAGACATTGTGTCTTGACACGAAACCATCAAGACGAATATTAGGAATCAACTATCTTTTTCAGACACCTTTATGTTTCATTGTCTTATACTTAGTTTGAATCGTCATCTAAAACATCTTATGAATGCACAATGAGAAATTCATCATCAAATTTAAATTGTACTTAAATTTTTAAAAGTTATTCACAGTCAAATCAGTCACAATTAAAATAAATATAATAAATTGATTTTAATTATTTTAAAAATTGATTTATTGATTTGAATAATTTTCTGATCTAAATGTAACAAATAAGTTGCAGGGCGATTATACAAGAAAAAGGAAAGTTCCAATGTCTTCTAATATAATTTATTAACTAAGTGTATGTAGCTTGAAATTACCATACAGGGTTTGTCCGGAAAGTAATAGGACTGATTTCCTTCCGCCGCGACTGTACTTAGGAGCGTGCGCGCATCGACTGGATTCCGTACAGGGCATTCCTAGCTAACAAACGAGCGGCTGGTGAGTTGTCTCCGAGCACCTGGAGAGTCAGAACAGGCTTTTTCGCGCGACGTGTTTCTGTGAGTGGTGCAAGCCGTAAACGCCAAGTTTTACGTCGAAGTGATCAAGAGACTCAAACGAAGGGTCAATCGGGTCCTACAAGAGATCGCAGCCGCCTGGAAGTTGCACCACGACAACGCCCCGGCTCGCAGCGCCTTTCTTGTGTACAGCTACCTGACTAAGGCCGGCATCCCAACGCTTCCGCAGCCGCCCTACAGCCCAGATGTGCCCCCCCCCCTTACTTTTTTTGTTTGCTCGCCTGAAAAGGCCGATGTAAGGCAAGCATTTTGAGACGACAGAAGGGATCCAAACAGCATGCACCGCGGCTCTTAAGGCTATTCCGGAGAATGCGTTCCGTGACGCCTTCAATGCTTGGAAACCGCGCTGGTAGCGCTTCATCGACGCAGAAGGAGCCTATTTTGAAAGTTTTTAAATAATTGTAACGATTGGCTCAATAAATTTTTTTAAATCGACTCAGTCCTATTACTTTCCTGACAAACCCTGTATATCTGCATTTAAATGAAAATATCCTGTATATCTACAAAGTACGTTCTTAATTGGGAAATGTTATAGCGGGTACATATGCCATACATCAACTTGCAAATCTCTAAAGTGTATGTTCGTTAAAGAAGACCGCGAACCATATGGTCGCACGGTTCATTTGACAGATGTGCACCACAAGAATACATGTATACGTATTTTCGTGAAAATTTCAGGCGAAAAATTTAGAGTTCTTGAAGACAAGCAAATTGCTACCACACTCCCGCGAAATACCTTATTGTACTTACTATATGTATAACCTTCTTTATATCCTAAAATCATAGTTAATCCTCCTGTTTAGTTACTTTTCGAACATATTCTTAATCAATCTTTAGGAAAATTCCTTGGAGATTGTCCCTAAGCCTGAGAATGAACAACACGTTTGTTGATTCCCCGTCAAAACTTTACCTTTCCATTTTAGTGGCCCTGAATATCCTTTCCATTCATTTTATGTAAATATTTCGAAGTATTCGTTGATAAAGGATTCAGAATTTGCCAACGTTATCCATCGCTGCCGCGGCTCTGTGTAGTTGATACTAAGGTCGGCTCGGCACGGCAGACATTTCAAATACCGTCTGTGTTGTAGTACACTCTCTCTCTCTCACATCGACCCCCTGGGGAAATTTGCAGAACGATGTTGCAGGGATATATAATGGCGTTCGATGTCGGGCTATAGGTGCATTTGTTCATCATTCGTTGTTGGAAGAGTTTGTGCCGCACACAGAAAAGCACCGCATCGGCGAGAGACGTACCTACCCCGCGAAAGTTCCTGTATTATTGCTCGTTTGTTTCCATCCTTATCCCCCGAACTACAGCTAAATTGTGATTTATGTTACTCGCGAGAACGAGTTTATACCTAGTCATACCTATCTACTAGGAATAAAGGACCGATGCGCCACAAAATATTCTCTTCGCAAACAACACGATTAAATAAACGAGTAGATACTAGAAAAGGCCACCTTTCAGCTTGACATTTTATATGGGACTGATAATTGCTACTCAAAAAAACATTCTAAAGCTGACTACAGTAATTCAACACATATGCAGTTTCATATCTAATAGCATTCAGATTCAAATGAACTACTAAAACAATATCAAGACCATAAAAAGTACTTTCAGACCTTTATGAACAAATACCGCTGGCGATCGATACGGCGACACTTTTACTAACACTGCCGAATGGCTGCAGCACTAGTCATAAATCATCTAACGAGACATAGTTGATAATAGGTTGTTTATGAATCTGATCATAACATCTAATTGACAATACCAAGACCATAAAAAGTACTTTCAGATCTTTATGCTGTAATGGACAAATGCCACAGGCGATCGATATGGCGACACTTACTAACGCAGCCGAATGGCAATAGCTTCAGTCATAAAGTACTTTCAGAACTTTATATTTTCATGAACAAATGCCGCAGACGATCGATACGGCGGCAGTTTTGCTACCGCTGCCGAAGAGCGACAGCTCTAGTCATAAATCATCCGTGAACACAGTTGATAATAGGCTGTTTATGAATCTGACTATAACATCTAATTGACAATACCAAGACCATAAAAAGTACTTTCAGAACTTTATATTGTCATGAACAAATGCCGCAGGCAATCGATACGACGGCAGTCGAAGGGCTGACTATAACATTTAATTGACAATACCAAGACCATAGAATTATTACAAAAAGCAAAACCTATCCCTAAATTCTAGGTGCTATTTATGTTACATTCTTGAAAGCGAAATAAATCAATAAATCTAGTTGATCTTTTCGACAAGTAAATATTAAGTGATTAGAGCAATTGTTCATTTTATTAACGTCTGTGGTGGATTTACTGTTACTTAAACGATAATTTATGTCTTCTCCTTCTATTTTTTTCCTAAAAATGTAACTCGACGTCTTTCATAGATTTCATTCGCCCTTTCAATTTCGAATGGCCGTTTACAGTCCTGCGTTCGATACCACATCAATTGCAACTTGAACGTAAAAGATAGCCAACCCTGCGAATGATTTATGAGACTTCTCCCCGTCTCCTTTCGGCCAATATTTTTTAAAAAATGTGTGTTAAAATACGACCAAAACCTTTTCGGAAACCGATCAATACGATTGAAACCCAATTTTCCACGAAATTCCACACAATGAATAAAAGTCACTTTCAATATACCAACCTATATTTCTTTGATAAATGCTCATTATATTTGAATTAGTAATAATTAGAACGAGAGTATTGAGAGAGTAGTTGCTAATTACGATGAAACGCTATTTTTATTGATGCTTTTATGGCGGTTGTAAATAAATTAATAATCCAATTTTCAGCTTTAATCGAAATATGAAAATAAATTGGCAGCCGTTTGTGGGAAATATGTCGAAAATATGTTTTTGTTTGCGAATCGTATATTTCAAACATAAAACATCCTAAAAATGTTAATTAGATTTACGAACCAAAAGAAAAAACATATAAATCTGCGCTAACGAAGACGGGCCAGCAGCAGCAATTTTTCGTCATTAATTTGAGGTTGTCTGTAGGGAGTAAAATTAATTCACTAATATATTGAATTAAAGCTACAAAAATCTCTTCAATACCTGTGTCTAGAAATTGCTGGGTTTTAGGTAATATAAAACAATACTGTACGAAAATAAATCAAAATAAAACAAAAATACTGATATGCAAGAGAAGAAAAAGCAGGGAAAAAACGAATATAAAGATAGGAGACGAAAAATTAGAAGAAGTGGCTGATTTTAGGTATCTAGGAAGTCAGATAAGTCAGGACGGAAGGAGTAGTAGAGATATAAAGCAGAAGATAACGCAGGGTCGTGTCGCCTTCAATAAAAAGACGTCACTTCTATGCCCGCGAAGGAATAATTTAGGAACTCGTAAAAGATTGTTAAAAGTGTATGTTTGGAGCTCGGCGCTCTACGGGTGCGAAACATGGACAGCAGGCGCGGCGGAAAGGTTAAAACGTTCGAAATGTGGTGCTACAGGCGAACGATGATGATACCGTGGATAGTGAAGGTTAAAAATTAAAAGGTTTGGAAATTGGAAAGAATAGGAGATCTAAGGACTCAATGGAAGTCAATAAAAAATAGGCGAGATGGGTTAGTAGGACACCTTGTCAGGCATGAAGGTCTAATCAAGAACATATTAAAGGCAGAAACAGGAGTTAGGAGGGGTAGACCTAGATTAGATTACTGTTCACAAACAGTTAAGTATGTGGGTTGTTCTAGTTTTAGGGAAATGCGAAGATTAGCTCAAGAAAAGAAAGAGTGGAGGTACGTGTCCAACCAGTCTTAGGACTGACGACCTTATGATGATGAGGTAATATCTACAAGTATAATTGAGAAAATTTTAGTCAGTCGATTTCTATAACAGTTTTCCTCCCTCTTTAGATACCTGCCATTAACATAACAAGTAAATGTGATAGGGCCTATAACGCCCGAGTTTTTTCTGTTCTTTTTCTCTAGGGCATTTTTCTTTGGTCCGTGACCGAGAAACAGCGGTTCAAACATTTGTTCGAATGCCGATAAAAAAGGAAAGTAATCTTCGAACGTCTTAGAACGAGTACTCCATCTGAAAGCAATATCAGTTGAGAAATCGCGACTCTTAAAGAACTTCTATATTTCATTTCAGGTCCTGACCGGAAACAGCAACACGTATCTGGTGGTGCGGCAACGACTCGAACTACCCTTTGTGGCCAGCAAGGTTCGATTCATCCCTTACAGCGAGCATCCCCGAACCGTCTGCATGAGGGTCGAACTATATGGCTGTTCTTGGGAGCGTAAGTATTAATGGTTCCTTTTTCTATTCTCCATCACCTCTATTTCCTCTTTTTATTCGACGTTATAAAAAGAACCACTTTTCCTCGAAATAACACACAAAATGAATCATACACAACATTACCGATCGATCCATAACCACTAGAAGGGAAATTTGATAATCGTATCAAAAGGAAAGCTTGACATCACTATTGCAATATTTTTCAATCTAATTATAAATAATCAAACAGTGAAACGATAAACAATTATTGTAGTAATTTCAATATATTACAGAGAATTAGTTTTTACGACTACAGATAACCTAAAAATAATGAGCTTAGTTGTTTTCTCATTAATTTTGGGGGTTATCTGTAGTGACAAAAATTAATTCAAAAAATTAATTCAGTTTAATAAACAGGGAAATTACTATTAACTATAAAGTGGCTTATTTGCGAGTAACTAATGCCTGAAGTGATAAATGCAAGATTTTCGAAAATAGAACATTATGTGATAATTGAATTTAGACTATTTGAATTTAGACCATTCTAGACTTGGTCCAAACAGTAAAAATAATCGTAAAACGTAATCGCGCAGAATAATTTCCAGTTAATACAAAAACCTTGATGTTTAATGCTTCAACCAACAAACGTTTATTCTTTCTCAAATCGAATATAATTTGTGATTCAGTTATCGAACGTTTTATTTTTAAAGATCCTTACATGATTTTAAAAACATTCTCCGCGTTCACTTCTAAAAGGTTGTAAAGCCTACTTTGGTTTCGTTATTAAACTTACAAAATGTTATCGATGAATGAAATTGATTTAATCGGAATTCATATCCGTAGTGTTTCGAAAAAGTTACATGCGAGATTTACACTACAGCCACATGAGAAATATCAAGTTTACGTTCGACATGGAGTACGAATACATACGCATAGATGTGTCACGAAAATTTGGAATTTAACTAAATACTCTCCATGTACAACCACGACCGTACTAGGGCCCATAGATACGGGATAATCAGATAAACCAAATTAACACACTTAGCTTAGTTTCATCTTATTAATTTTATATTATTTTTTGTCTACAAGTGTTTAATCCTTTCTCTATTTTCTCATGAGTTGAATACCAAAAAGAACTTAACTATAGAACCTATAGGGTCAATTGAAAAGTCCCCGGCCTAACACATAGATGGCGGCACCAGAACTAAATCCATATGATTTTCAGTTAGTCCTAACCTTCAAAAGACGCGTCTATAAATTTGACGGCTGTCGGATCATTAGTTTGTAAATTATAGCATTTTTAGTGAAGCAACTTTTGTTATTGTGAAAAAAATGGATAAAAAGGAATTTCGCGTGTTGATAAAATATTGCTTTTTGAAGGGAAAAAATACAGTTGAAGCAAAAACTTGGCTTGATAACGAATTTCCGGACACTGCCCCAGGAAAATCAACCATCAAGGATTGGTATGCTAAGTTTAGACGTGGTGAAATGAGCACCGAAGACGGTGAACGCAGTGGACGCCCAAAAGAGGCTGTTACGGACGAAAACATTAAAAAAATCCACAAAATGATTTTGAATGACCGTAAATTGAAATTGAATGAAATAGCAGACACTCTACAGATATCAACGGAACGTATACATCACATCATTCACGAATATTTGGGTATGAGAAAGCTCTGTGCAAAGTGGGTGCCGCGCGAGCTCACTTTTGACCAAAAACAACGACGAGTTGATGATTCAGAGCAGTGTTTGAAGATGATCACGCGTAATAAACCCGAGTTTTTGCGTCGATATGTGACAATGGATGAAACATGGCTCCATCATTTCACTCCGAAGTCCAATCGACAGTCATCGGAGTGGACTGCACACGATGAACCCGCTCCAAAGCGTGCAAAAACGCAACAGTCGGCTGGCAAGGTTATGGCGTCTGTATTTTGGGATGCGCGTGGAATAATTTTCATTGACTACCTTGAAAAAGGAAGGACCATCAACAGCGACTATTACATAGCGTTATTGGACCGTTTGAAGGACGAAATCGCCGAGAAACGACCGCATTTGCAGAAAAAGAAAGTCCTGCTTCACCAAGACAATGCACCGTCTCACAAGTCAGTGAAAACGATGGCAAAAATTCATGAATTGGGCTTCGAATTGCTTCCGCATCCACCGTATTCTCCAGATCTGGCCCCCAGCGACTACTTCCTGTTCTCAGATCTCAAAAGAATGCTCGTTGGGAAAAAATTTTCGTCGAATGAAGAGGTGATCGCCGAAACTGAGGCCTATTTTGAAGCAAAGGACAAATCGTACTACAAAAATGGTATCGAAAAGTTGGAGGATCGCTATAATCAGTGTATCACCCTTGAAGGGAATTATGTTGAATAAAAAAAACGAATTTTGCAAAAAAAATGTGTTTTACTATTTTAGGCCGGGGACTTTTCAATTGACCTGTTACAACACTTAACCATCCCCATATTGTCACCTCCAATATCTCCATAGCCAAAAGCCATTGATTTAAATGGTTCTATTCGATAGTAAAGGTAACTGCTGTAGACTGTAGGTGTAGGAAATACATACGTAGACGTTTCTCTACCGGGAAATGTAAATGCGTTTTGCAAACATACATAGATATGTACATACACCTATATATTAACTGTCTTCCTTCAGAACAGTATATAATATAACGTTCTATGCTATATATTTCCATTATCACCCACCCCATTTGGACTATATGGCGTAGAAGAGGTAATAAACATTCAACAGTTGATCTGGCAACAATGTTTCACTTTTGGCGTTATCAAAAGTTAAAGGTATGTTTAAACTGTCGTGAGTGACAGACCATGGTGGAGGGTTAAGACGAAGGTTTCAGAAGCAATTTGGATTAAGCATTTCCCTCTATGCTCGGTGATGGCGAAGGAACATTTAGAAATTCCTTCGAAATACATTTTGACATTCAAAGCTATTGCTTTAGACGGCGTAAAATTAATCTGACTCTTCTTCTAAATGGCATACCTGAAATATTTGAAAAGGCAATCGAAATACAGATTGTACAGAGTATTTTATAAATTAACTTACTATCTGTGTGTATTAAACACTATTTGAGTAGCCAGCGCATGTCTGGTTCACTTGATAAGTGTCGCAAAGAATTGGTAACGAGATCGTCTCAAAAAGTAACATCAAAATTTATTAAATGTAAAAATAGACTTTCCTCAATAATTACACATTTTCCGTTGATGACTAGAAAATTTTTGAAGTGAAATTTCTTTGCCGACGGTAGAAAGGAAATTTACTATGGTATAAAACCGAAAAGTGTAACGTGACGCGTCACGCGTCACGCGCAAAGTGTGCCTCCTGGTGGATATGTCCAAATGGTGCCATTTTAAGAATCTTGAGAAGCTAACCGATAATCCGAAAAATGCCATTTCGACAAATTGTTAGCAGGTCGCGCCTACGGTATACTGTACCTATATGTATTTCATATACGTTTTTATTTGTTTTGATTTGTAATTCCTCGCTGCAGTTTTCTATGGCGCAAGCGTAAAAGTTTTAATAGAACTAACCCAATATTCCGCATTCGTCTGATCTAAATAAAGTTGTATTTTTATGGTGTTTAGTAATTGTAAATAATCGATATTCAAAAGTTAAGGTACCAGATTTTTATTTGTAATCACAAGAAATCGTTTATAGGGGGTGGAGTAGTTGGTGGAGGGAGGGGTTTGGATCGTCACTCAGAATTCATGCATTCAACAATTAATATATTATCATCATCATCATTTATTTCCTCATAGGCAAAGAAGTACTGGATGTAACAAAAATCGCAGAGAAAAACCCTACAAGATTTTTTCAAAATTATTTGCCTTGAGTTTTTAATAAAAAGTACAATACAAATGGTTACACATACATTAGCTTATTCTAGCTGACAACATTCCTTCTGCGAATGATGTTCCTGTATTTCTAACTTGGCTACAACCTCTACATTTCAGTTTGTTGACTCAAGATTATTGTTCTGTTGTTTTTTTATTTTTGTAAAAGCATCAAACATTTTCTATATTCTTTTGAATTGTCTTTGGAGCACTTCTCTATCTTCAAATTTGCGTAAAAAGTGTCTGCATTCGTTAAAAAAAGAGAAACAGAGCAAGTGGCATTCTAAAAAGCCGGAAAATTAGAATAAGTAAACCTCCAAGATAGATATTCATATCAAAAGATTCTTTCTCCCGCTCTAATAGTTTCTGTTGGTGAAATACGCGCGTCCTTTTCATAAATGAGTGGCCTAACAAAAGAAATTACGGACAAAAAAAAAGGAATAACAAAGCCAGTCGTTCTACAATGTACATTGTGCAATAGTATCTCCGATTGGCTTACTACCGTTAGTGCGATGACAGTGTACTTTTTAAAAGACACTTGCGGTCTATTGAAATTGAAAATGTTGGCAAGGCAGCAAAAAACATAGGACAAAATTTGCAATTTGTCTTAAAACAACCACCACATCAAGCATTTATTGTGATTCAAAATACAGAAAACGTCGGTTTCTCGCGTTTTACAAGCGAGCCTTTTAATCAACCCGCTGAAATTTCGGTGCTTTGTATTTATACTATACATATAATACTTAGTAATATATTTCTTTTAAACAAAGACAAATGGCTGGAGAATTTTTTCAAAAAAGGTTTTTCATTTCACCCTCGTCGGTATAGGTAATAGATAGGTACAAAAAGAAAACCCTTATCATGTCGTTCCAGCGAAGAAGAAACGATTTTCAAGCAAAATACCCCAAGGATATTTTCACATCCGAAAAATAAATAAAAGATAATAGAAAAATGGACATTTAACACTCTTGCAAACACACACACATTCACCTCCTCGAATCAGGTATTAACTATAAGCAGGTTTTCCTGCCGTCTTTGAATTTTCAGGACGTGATGGTACGTTATCGCCAACCTTCGGGCGACAGATAGACAGGATGTCGGGATTTACCCTTGTCGGGGATAGGGAAAATGCGAATATGATACCCAAATCAGATTATCGAAAATC